TGTCACCCAGGCTGGTCTCAAATTCCTGGCCTCAAGAGATCCTCCTGCCTCAGCCTCCCAAAGTGCTGGGATTACAGGTGTGAGCCACTGTGCCTGGCTGAATACTAAGTAAGTATTTGTACCCATTGAGCAAGCTCCCTTTATTCCCGCACCTCTCCACCTTCCCAGCCTGGTAACCACCAATCGACTCTCTATCTCCATGAGATCCGCTTGTTTGGCTCCCACACGAGGGAGAACACGTGGTGTTTGTCTTCCTGAGGCATAGCTCTTTTAATCAATGGGGAGATCCCTGAGACCCACTGCCCAATTTTCTGTTTTCTACTCTTTTTTTTTTTTTTTTTTTTTTTTTTTTTTTTTTTCTTTTTTTTTTTTTTTTTTTTTTTTTGAGATGGAGTCTTGCCTAAGCTGGAGTGCAATGGCGCGATCTCAGCCCACTGCAACCTCTGCCTCCTGGGTTCCAGCGATTCTCTTGCCTCAGCCTCCCGAGTAGCTGGGATTACAGGCGTGCGCCACCATGGCCAGCTAATTTTTGTATTTTTAGTAGAGATGGGGTTTCACCATGCTGGCCAGGCTGGTCTCGAACTCCTGAGCTCAAGTGATCTGCCCGCCTCAGCCTCCTAAAGTGCTGGGATTACAGACGTGAACCACTGCGCCTGGCCTCGTGGCTAATTTTTTATTTTTTGTAGAGATGGGTCTCTTCTCTCTATGCTGCCTAGGCTCCTTCTACTCATAAAGGAAGTGGTTTCTCCTCCCAACAACTATTTCCAATCTAAATGTTCCTTGAAATTTAAGCAAACTTGCTTTCCATTCATTCATTCATTCATTCATCCATTCAACACTTTTTTTGCTAGCTTTGGGCGAATTTGCTGAAAATCATCTTGCTAAATGATTGATCCTTTCCTGTCAGAGGGGTGGTTTGGTATAGTGGGCTGCTTCTGTATCCTCAGAGGTCTCCCTTGTGCCAGGATTTGGTACTGAGCAGAAGTTGAGATATCTGCCTTTGTGGACATTCCAGTCCACAGGGGGACAAGGAGAGAAGAAAAGCAATCTACACATAGTCAGGCAGACAGAGATAGGATTGCAGGTTGTGACAGGTTCTTTGAAGTAATGAAGGTTTTACTTGGGGGGTGAGAGAGGTCAGGGAGTCTGATGCCGTGTAGAAGAGGAAGTGTCCCAGGGAGTGAGAACAGCATGTGCAAAGGCCCTGTGGTAGGAAATCACCGGGCTCAGTCAAGGAATGCCAGCGGACCAGAGTGCAGTGAGAATGTGGGAAGTGGTGCCAAGGGAGGCTGGCGAGGCAGCCAGGAGCCAGGCCAGGCAGGAGCCCACAGGCCATGGGAGGAAGCTTTCTGAGAGCAAGGGGAGCCACCCAGGGATGTGAGTCAGGGGAGAGACATACTCAGGTCCTCATCATCCATATGCCTCTCTGGCAGCTGGGATTACAGACCCCCAAATAAGACTAACAGAATGGGAAACATTCCAGAAACAGCAGAAGGAAGCATCTGTAGGATCTAGCACCTGGGGGGCCTGGATCGGGTGGTAGGTGCAGAGTTGGGTGCCTGACTGAGCTTAGACTCAAGGAGAGTAGGCGGATGGCAGGAACAGTAGCCTGGGAGAGAGATAGAGTGACAGCCCAGGCGAGGAGGAGGCATTGGGGGTGGAGGGCTAGGGCTTGCAAAGACTGCTTGCAACCCCAGCACTTTGGGAGGCCGAGGCGGGAAGATCACTTGAGCCCAGGAGTTTGAGACCAGCCTGGGCAACATAATGAGACCCATCTCTCCAAAAAATTTAAAAATTAGCCAAGCATGGTGGTGCGTTCCTGTCACCAGGAGGTGGGAGGATCGCTTCAGCACCGGAATTCAAAGCTGCAGTGAGCCATGATGGCGGCACTGCACTCCAGCCTGGGCAACAGAGCAAGACCCTGTCTCAAAAACAAAGAAAAAAAAAATCCGAAAAACAAGTATCTGCAAGATTCTGTCACAACCACGCCTTTGCCAATACAGAAACTGTAACCAAAACCCAAACAGGCAAACAAGGATTTTGTTCTTTGTAGATTTTTTTTTTTTTTTTTTTTTTTTTTTTTTGGGTGTTTTTTTTTTTTTTTTTTTTTTTTTTTTGAGACGGAGTTTCGCTCTTCTAACCCAGGCTGGAGTGCAGTGGCACGATCTCGGCTCACCTCAACCTCTGTCTCCTGGGTTCAAGCAATTCTCCTGCCTCAGCCTCCTGAGTAGCTGGGATTACAAGCGCGCGCCACCATGCCCAGCTAATTTTTGTATTTTTAGTAGAGACGGGGTTTCACCATGTTGACCAGGATGGTCTCGATCTCTTGACCTCGTGATCCACCCGCCTGGGCCTCCCAAAGTGCTGGGATTACAGGTGTGAGCCACCACTCCCGGCCTTCTTTGTAGATTTTAACTGCTTCTGGGCATCTTGCTCTGGCGCCCACCACTACTGCTGCTGCTTTCCACGACACCCAGGCCGCCTGACCTTTCCTGGGTGCCCTCGGCCCACCAGGCCCTGTCGTGGTCACTTTTCGACTCACTGCTGCATTGCGGGCTTTTGCTAGGTGCTTCCATGGTTCAGCCAGGGGTGGGCCCCTGACACGATGAGTCAGCTCTGAATGGCCTTCGGCCTTGCACTCTGCCCTCTACTGAAGGTCCACATTCCCAGGAGAGTCGGGGAGGCCCCATGGGGAGCCCACCCCAACCCATGGCTGGCCTGGAGCAGGCACCTGGTTGACCATCTCATCAAATGGGAAGGGGTCACCTGCAAGGATAATCAGCTGCTGCTACCAGAAAAGGGGGAGAGGCTGGCACTGGCCTGGTCCCCCGCCTGGTCTTCCCCCTCTCAGGAGGCTCCCCACTCTGCACCTACCACCCAGTCCAGGCCCCCCAGGTGCCAGGTCCTGCAGATGCTTCCTTCTGCTGTTTCTGGAATGTTTCCCATTCTGTTAGTCTTATTTGGGGGTCTCATCATTTCTTGCCTGCATTGCTAGCAGCTGCAGCTTTCGGTCTAGACCTTTCTCACACTGTGCCCTCCAGGGGGTTCTCTAAAACAAAAAACTATCAGATGTTTGTCTTTCTGATAAGCTCCTCAGTGCCCCGCACCCCCGCAGCCGGCCTGGCCCACAGGCCTCCATGAGCCCCCACCCCCCGGAGCATCATTCCCCCCTCCCACACCTCCTGCTGGCAACAGTGGACACATCACAGCTTTCCCGTGACGTCACGTTCCCTGCCTCTGCCTTTGCTTCTGCTCTTCCAAGCCCCCTTGCCGTTCCCTGCCCAAAAGCTTCTCACTCAGCTCTGATGATGTTCCCGCCCGAGGAGTCTCATCCCAGCCCCGCCAGCCTCCTCTGCCGAGCTGGTCACTACAGTGTTCACATTATTTTGAAATTTCGTGTTTATTTCGGAGGAGGGAGGTGGACTTTTTCTGCGCCCCTTTGCTGTCTTTTACATTTTGTTTCATGAGCATATATTGCCTGTCTTAAAATGCACCAAACATTTACAAAATACAAGCTCATTAGCTCATTACAAAAAGTCAAGTGTTGCTTAAGATGAAAACAGATCTTCAGTAATTCCACTCCCATCAGTTTTCCCGTCATGTCGGGGCCACCCTTCTGGTCCTTTCTTGCATGTTAGAGCCCACGTGTGTACATCTGCTGTCCATCTGTACACACGCGTGCACTCTAATATGCAAGAAAGGACTAGTCCATCTGTTGTTCGGTAAGTTGTTTTTTCTTTCTTTTCTTTTCTTTCTTTCTTCTTTTCTTTTTTTTAGACAGAGTCTTGCTCTGTCATCCAGACTGGAGTGCCATGGCGCAATCTCGGCTCACTGCAACCTCTGCCTCCCGGTTTGGGTCAAGCAGTTCTCCTGCCTCAGCCTCCCAAGTAGGTGGGACTACAATCAATAAATATTTATTGAGCATCTACTATAAATGCTGTGTGGAGATTACAGCAGTGAAGAAATCAAATTCTAGCTGTCAGGAGTTAAGAGACAGGTAGCAAACAGACATACATGCTCCAGAGAAAGAATAATGGGGGAAGAGGACAGCGTTGCCAGGGGTCGGGGCTGTTTCCCGCCACATCGGAGCGGCCTGGGTGGATGGAGGGGAAGGGCATTCCAGGTGGAGAGAAGCAGGAGGGCCAGAGGACGTCCTCGGGACAGGTCGGCCACGATGGGGGACTTGCGTTTCCCTGAGGGAAATGGGAAGCAAGGTCCCCATGCTGGTGAGCAGCCGGCAGGCGGGTGAGGGTGGCAGTAAGCACCTGGTGAGAGGGGCGGTGAGTCCGCGGCTGCAGTGGGAGTGTGAGAGGTGACCACACGTGCCATTCCACGCCTGCCCCTCCCCACAGCGGGGTGCAGAGCAGGAGCCCGGCCAACATCCCTCAGACAGAGTGGAAAGGGCTTTCCAGACTCCTTCCTTCCCAAGCGTCTCTGGTTTCCTGGGGTCCACACAGAAGGAACTTCCCAGAGTTCTCACCCTCCTTGGCCCTCTTCTCACCTATTCACCAAGAGCGCAGATTCATGGACTGGAGACCCCCATCAAAAGCCCCCAGCGTGTGGCTCCCCAGTGTTAGGGTCCCTGTCTCCATGGGGCCCTGTGCACACTGGGGGATGGGAATGGCCAGGGCAGTGGTGGCTGGGGGTGCCTTTCGCGGGAGCAGCATGCTCTCGCTGTGGCTCGTGGCTCACCCCTGCCGGCCTTATGTAACCAGAGAACTTGGGGAACTGCATCTGGCAGCGGCAGGTTGGAAAGCTGGAAGTGCTCCACGCCAGGCTGAATCAATCAGCAGCCCCCACGCCCAGGGCAAACACCACAGGCTCTTTTGAAAACTGGATGTGTGCCCTGCCCAAGCCTTCAGACACATTCTTGGTTTCAGAAGCAAACAAAAGTAGACAGCCCGGGACCTAATCCCCAAAACCAGGGCTGTAGGGAGCAGAGGTCCAGATTACGCCACGCCCCGCATTTGAATATTGTTTATTCCTTCTCACGGAAACTTCCTGGGCAGGAACTCCAAAGGATCAATGAAGGGTGGTCCTTAAATACGTGCCCTCTTGGCTCTTGTCATTCCAGGAGCCCCAGTTACCAGGAGAGGCTGTGTCAAAGGTAACCCTCTTCCCCACGTGCCTTATTTTTTCTCTTGTCTAGGTGGAGCCTGCACTAGCAGCAGGGGCCCTAAGTGTCGCAAGTCTCACAGGGAGCTGGTCCCTGCCTCCGGGACCATCATCTCTGGAGCATCCTCCTGGACCTTTGGCAGCTCTGCGATCCCCCGAACCAGGAGGTGGAGGTCCAGGGACCCTCGGAGCAGGGACACCACGGTGGCCGTGGGGTGAGAGGCCTTGATGGGCTGTGAGACTCCATCACTGGAGGGAAGGTGGCAGAGCCGAGTGCCAAATGCACGAGCGGCCGACAGAGACGGATGTGGGTTCAAACCCTGGTGTGCCGCTTGCTGAGATCAGACAGAGCATTTAGCGTTTCTCAGTCTCCCTTTCCTCATCTATAAAACTCATGCATCTCTGTTGATTCTTCATGGACATCACTGCAGCGCTTTTGTGAAGATGGAAGGCGATGAGGGGGGGAGGGGGTGTCAAGGGGGCAAAGTCAACACTGGCATAGATGAGAGGGACAGGGTGCAGGGATATTGGGTGCGAGGCAGCTGGCTCTGGGGAGGCTCCCATCCAGGTGCAGCTGAGACGTGAGGGGCTCTGGTCTCCACTCATCTCTGTGAAGCGGCACCTTTGTTAACCCGTCTCTCAGGGAAGTCCTGGGAAGGCCGTTCTGCCCAGAGACCACAGTTCTGAGTGGTGACACTGGGGTGCAAGGCCAGTCCCGTCCCATGCTCACCAGGTTCTTGCCACCTGGGCTGCCTCCCTTGGTGGCCAGTGTCTAAGGCTGCTGCCCTGGTTTGACCTTACAAGGCTGGGGAGAGAAGCAGGACCTTCCTACAGGGCTGGGTTCGTGACCAGCAGGAGGGGCCTGGCCCATGGGGCTGAGAAGGTCCCAGTGAGGGGGCTTCCCCAGCCTCCTATCAGATCACAGGGAGGGGCCATAGAAGGGCAGCCTTAGAGCACCCCCGATGCCAGCAGGTCCCTCCTCCCTGTGCAGAAAGCCTGGGGCTGGGGGTCAGAAAGCCTGGAGAGGGGAGGCAGAGGAAGGATGGGAAGCCACTCCTTGGAATGTAGGCAGGATCACAGTTCTATGTACAATGTAATTATGTATTACATGTGATAGATAAGGTTTAAAAAAATGGAAATATCCTATTTTTGCTGAGGTTAAAACTTACACTGTGTCTGCAGGTGGGCTGATTATCTCTGAAAGGAGAGTAAGGAACTGGTAACAGTGGCCTCTCTGGGGGTGGCCCTGACAGCTGCTGGAGCAGGGAGGAGGGAGGTGGACTTTTTTCTGTGTCCCTTTGCTATCTTTTACACTTTGTTTTATGAGCATGTATTGCCTGTCTTAAAACGCACCAAACATTTACAAAATACAGGCTAACTGCAAAAAGTCAAACGTTGCTTAAGATGAAACAGATCTTCAGTAATTCCACTCCCATCAGTTGTCCCGTCACGTTGGGGGCCACCCTTCCAGTCCTTTCTTGCATGTCAGAGCTCGTGTGTGTGCGCGCACCAGTCCATCTATTGTTCTGTAACCTGTTTTTTCTTTTCTTTTCTTTCTTTTTTTTAGACAGAGTCTTGCTCTGTCGCCCAGGCTGGAGTGCAATGGCACAATCTCTGCTCGCTGCAACCTCTGCCTCCCTGGTTGGGTCAAGCAATTCTCCTGCCTCAGCCCCCCAGGTAGCTGGGACTACAGATGCCCACTGTCACGCCCAGCTAATTTTTGTATTTTTAGTAGAGACGGGGTTTCACCATGTCGGCCAGGCTGGTTTTGAACTCCTGACCTGAAGTGATCCACCTACCTCGCCTCCCAAAGTGCCTTCTAAGATTGCAGGTGTGAGCCACCGCGCCAGGCCTGTAACCTGTTTTCTTTCTTATCCCCAGTGCCTGGGACACCCCTGGTGCAGAGAGAGCCCCCACAAACATGCTGAATCACCCGCTCCTCCTTAGCCCTCAACATGCACAGTAATCCGTCACATGGGCGTGACGGGAGCCATTTAAACTGTCTCCTCCTGCGGACTTGGGTGTTTCCAATATTTCCCTGTTATAGTAATCAGTGACGACTTTCTTATTCGTGAATGTTTAGGAAAGGCTGTAGGACCTCTTTGTCACAGAGAAATATGTTTGAAAAGCTTTTGTCAGATATTGCCAAATTGCCCCCAGCGGGGCCATCGCAGTTTGCCACTATGGTTTCGTGTATGGGTGGCAGGAATCGCCTCCATCCCTCTTTGTGGAAATCTACAGCTCTGTGAACCCTTGACGGGCATGAGCGTGCGTCTCCCGGGTGTGGCACGCATGGGTTTAAACACCAAGCCTGTTCAGCTCTGCCAAGAAACCAGCGCATTTTAGAACAATGGATTAGGCAGGAGGGTTGGGCCAGATTTTCCTTTATCGGCTTGGGTGTGGAATCGCGGCCTGTACCCCCTCAATCTACCTGGGGTGTGGGCCTGGGACTGTGCCACCAGCTCTGCAAGCAAGCAGCGGAGCCGGGGAGTCCGGGAAAGGCCCTGCCCCCAGCACGCTGCCAAGGGCCCTCAGCAGCAGTTCCGCTCCAGACGCGTGTCGCTGCGGGTGTCGCCCGCTCGGGCGCAAGGCAGCGGGGGTCCCAGGCGTCTGAGCGTGCAGGAGAGGAGGCGAGGCAGAAAACGGACCTTCCAGAGGGAAGGCCATTTTCCGCAGGGCCGAGCCCGGGCCCAGGCAAGTCGCTTTCCTATAGAATTCAGGGCGCGCCCTTGCCCCCCGCCGCTGCAGGCGCTCCCTGTCCCCGGGCACCATGAGCCAGATCAGCGAGACCGTGAGGCGCGCCCGCGCCGCCTTCAACTCGGGCCGGACCCGCCCGCTGCAGTTCCGGATCCAGCAGCTGGAGGCGCTGCGGCGCATGATCCAGGAGCGCGAGCAGGAGCTGGCGGGCGCGCTGGCCGCGGACCTGCACAAGGTGCCAGGCTGGGCGGCCGCCCTCCGCCAGGGTCCGCGCCACGCGGTGGGGGGTGGGGGGCGGGGCGGTGCAACCCGGAGAGGTTCAGGAAGCCCCCGCTCCGCTGGCCTTTTCCTCCTGCCCCGGCCTCCGCGTCCCGCCCGCAGCGCCCCTATTTCAACTCCCCTGCTGCTCCTACACCCCGAACTTCTGCCCCCACCTATTCCTCAGCCCCACGCCCGACCACCTGATTCTCCACACCAGGAAACAGCGCAGCTTGGCACCCCGGAGGGCATGGGGGGCTCTTCCCTCCCTCTCCGTCCTCCCCGGGGCTGTTCAGACCCTCGCCCTGAGCAAGACCAGACGCCCCCGCATTCGCAGACCCCTGCTGCCCCCACATCCTGCCTGGGGTCCGGCGCTCCGGAGCCCATCCTCCCACCGACTACCTTCTTTGCTCCTGCACTTTTATTTTTTATTTTATTTTATTTTTATTTTTTATTTTTTTGAGACGGAGTTTTGCTCTTGTTGCCCAGGCTGGAGTGCAATGGCGCGATCTCGGCTCACCGCAACCTCCGCCTCC